TTCAAACAATGCCAGAGTATGAAAGGGTTTAGTGATTCATAGAAATTCTAGCATGATGTAAATTTTTGTGAAACAGGGGAAAGGTCCCCTTTAAACCTGCTTCCATGAAGATCCTGCCTGGTTCGACCCTTCATTATTCTACTTCAACACAAAGTTATATTCTAGTAGAGTTATTTGATTGGCATAAAATAGAATGTTTTTAATCATGTCAACCAAACATAAAACAATATTTATGTATACTGTAAGATTTTTAGACATCTTCTGATGTTCCCCACCAGTCAGATATTTTACTGGTAATTCCACTGAGACACTTGGCAATTTGAACAGTTCCCTTCATTCAAAGATTGTTATGTTTAATTAAATGTGAGCAACACAGAGTGAAGCTGGACATGATTTTCTGTTTTCTTATTAGTACTTTGGATGTCTGCCCACCATGCAGTAAAAAAATAAAACTGCTGATATTGACAGCAGGATCAAAAATAATTTGTGACCAAATCTGATCATAAGGTTTAATTAATTCCTTTAGGAAGTGAAGATGTAACCTTTTATTATTTTAGACACAATCTAAAATACAATAGGAAACTGATAAAAATGTAAATGATTGTCTTTTCTGAATTTCAATAATAAATAGGACTGTGAAAAATCCATACTTTGCTGTTTTCCAATTTTTTTTAATGATTTGTATTTAAAAGTTGATTCTTCATTCAAAACTGCATATACAGTATCTCACAGAAGTGAGTACACCCCACACATTTTTGTAAAATATTTTATTATATCTTTTCATGTGACAACACTGAAGAAATGACACTTTGCTACAATGTAAAGTAGTGAGTGTACAGCTTGTATAACAGTGTAAATTTGCTGTCCCCTCAAAATAACTTGACACTGCCATCAATGTCTAAACCATTGGCAACAAAAGTGAGTACACCCCTAAGTAAAATGTCCAAATTGGGCCAAAAGTGTCAATATTTTGTGTGGCCACCATTATTTTCCAGCACTGCCTTAATCCTCTTTGGCACTGGAATTCTCTTCCACTCCTCCATGATGACATCACGGAGCTGGTGGATGTTAGAGATCTTGTGCTCCTCCACCTTCCATTTGAGGATGCCCCACAGATGCTCAATAAGGTTTAGTTCTGGAGACATGCTTGGCCAGTCCATCACCTTTACCCTCAGCTTCTTTAGCAAGGCAGTGGTCGTCCTGGAGGTGTGTTGGGGTCATTATCATGTTGGAATACTGCCCTGCAACCCAGCCTCCAAAGGGAGGGGATCATGCTCTGCTTCAGTATGTCACAGTACATGATGGCATTCATGGTTCCCTCAATGAACTGTAGCTCCCCAGTGCTGGTGTAAGAGGTGCAGAAAATAGGCAGCCCCATAAAATTAAAATCCAAAGCCTAATACCTAATATAACAGTAATCTATCTTTGTCAATAGAAGATACTAGAGATTGCATTTTTATTGCATCATCACAAGAGGGCAGAACTACTTCCTGTGATAATAGGAAGACACAGAAGTGGGAACTAAAAGTCTGAACCAAATCAGTTCATCTTGGTCTCGTCAGGACCACAGTACATGGTTCCAGTAATCCATGTCCTTAGTCTGCTTGTCTTCAGCACACTGTTTGCGGGCTTTTTTGTGCATCATCTTTAGAAGAGGCTTCCTTCTGGGACAACAGCCATGCAGACCAATTTGATGCAGTGTGTGGCGTATGGTCTGAGCACTGACAGACTGACCCCCCCACCCCTTCAACCTCTGCAGCAATGCTGGCAGCACTCATACGTCTATTTCCCAAAGACAACCTCTGAATATGATGCTGAGCACGTGCACTCAGCTTCTTTGGTCAACCATGGCGAGGCCTTTTCTGAGTGGAACCTGTCCTGTTAAACTGCTGTATGGTCTTGGCCACCGTGCTGCAGCTCAGTTTCAGGGTCTTGGCAATCTTCTTATAGCCTAGCCTTATGTAGAGCAACAATTTTTTTTTTCAGATCCTCAGAGTTCTTTGCCATTAGGTGCCATGTTAAACATCCAGTGACCAGTATGAGGGAGTGAGAGCGATAGCACCAAATTTAACACACCTGCTCCCCATTCACACCTGAGACCTTGTAACACTAATGAGTCACATGACACCGGGGAGGGAAAATGGCTAATTGGCCCAATTTGGACATTTTCACTTAGGGTTGTACTCACTTTTGTTGCCAGCGGTTTAGATATTAACGGCTATGTGTTGAGTTATTTTTGAGGGGGGACAGCAAATTTACACTGTTATACAAGCTGTACACTCACTATTTTACATTTTAGCAAAGTGTAATTTCTTCAGTGTTGTCACATGAAAAGATATAATAAAATATTTACAAAAATGTGAGGGGTGTACTCATTTCTGTGAGATACTGTAGCTTCCCCTACCAACCCAATTGTAACAAGCGTACACACAGAGATGGATGCGGTTCAACCATTTTGGCTTCAACTTCCATCTTGGCAAAGGGGTTAACCATCCTGACAAACATATTTCCCCCTCATTCTCCCCCTCCCTCTCTGAGAGTCACAGTGACATTTGCCAGTGTGTATGTGCGTTAGGAGTGTCACAGGAGTCCAGGGCCCAGCAAGGGGCTAGGAGCTATAAAGTCCCCAAGGGAGCTGAGGCCTAGCTGTCCAAATAACCTGTGCAATGTTACACCTCGTATAAGATAAGGCAAGCTTTCCCAGGAGTTCAAAGAACATTCCCAGGAAACACGACCAGATAACCTTTGTTAAAATCCATTTTTCCCCTGAGTTTAGGAGAGATTTTGGTTTCTAGTTTAGGGCTACGCCCAGACCTCCACGCCCTAAACTGGGTATTGGTCCTTGACTTCAGAGACACCCCCTGCTGGGGAACTACAAATTGGGCTGTCAGGCCTAAGAGAGGGAAGTTGAAGACGTCTCCCATTTTAACATCCGTGTTAGGAATGGACTGGCCAGCAATGGTGGGACTCACCTGCCTTTTGATCTGCAGTACCAGGGCTGGCCAGCGGGTGTTCCCAGCAATCAGAGACTCAACTCTGCAGCCAGCTAACACCTGTAACTGATGATGCTGGGGTATTTAAGGGATGGCCAGACCCACAGACTCTGCCTTGGTGTTGTGTTTGTCCTGGGCCCTGTATCTGTCCTGCATCCTGTTTCTGTTCCTTTGCTGACTTCTCCTGCTCTGATCCTGGCTTGTGACCCTGACCATCCCTCTGTCTGACCCTCTGTACTACGCTGCTTGCTACCTGTTCTGATCCCTGGCTTGTGACCCGGACCATCCCTCTGCCTGACCCTCTGTACTATGCTGCTTGCTACCTGCTGAACCTGGCCTGTGACCCCGACCATTCTCCGCTTGCTCCCCCTGTACCTACCTGCCCAATTGATATTGACCCGGCCTGCCTGACGACGCTTGCTTGTATGTACTGTTCTCTGTGGGTGGTTTGGTTTGGTTTGTTTGCACTGTATTATGTTTTAGTATTGCACTGCGTTTATGTTTGTACTGTTAGTGTTAATAAATTATATTGTTTATAACATATCTGAGGTCTGCGTTTCCCTGCTTCAGTCACACACCTCTGGTCATACCTGGGCCCTGACTGACATTACACCAAGGCCAATCCTGACCAGAAGTGGCTGCACAGGGAAGCCATCTTGGCTTGTTGATGGGAAGGATGGATCTTGATGAGGTTGAGTATTTATATCTGCTAGTGTTTGATGACAGGGAGTATGCTTATCAAACTCTGAAGGAGTATACCCGGGATGAATTGCTAGAATGTATACGGCTCGCTCATGTTCTAGTAGATCAGGGCACAGTGTTCTCTGAGGTGCAGCCATTGATTGAGGTTTGTGCAGAGTTGGTTTCATCTGGTTCCCCCGAATGCAGGGATGAATTTTTGCCACCATTTAGTGCAGACCAGGTAGAGTCCCTGGTGTGGTTATTAGAGGATGATGTGGGTTACTTTCTGGAGCGTTATTCCACATGTTCACCACAGACACTAAGAGATTGTATAAACGCAGTGCAGTCATTGACCAGACAGGCTTTGTGTAAGCTCAGCTTTGTTCAACCCCTACTGCAGACATGGACAGATTTGTTGCACCCAGCCTCAGTCAGCTTACAAAGACCCAGTCCTGCTTCTAACTCTACTCCTGTATTCCCACCAGCTCCTCCAGTTACAGCCCAGTATACTTGGCTATCTACCGCATGTCAGTACCCTGTTCCCACTCGCTGCACCTATCCTGCCTTTAACCCTGTAAAAAAGCCCTCTGTAGCAACTGCTCCCTCTCCTGTTCCATCCTCCAGTTCTTCTCTGTCTCCAGCTGCTCCATTCGTTTGCAGACCTGCGTTTACTTGCAGTGCTCCAGTAGTTAAAACCAGAAAAAAGCGAAAATTCTTTCCAACCAGTACCATCCTGCCAGTATCCAAACTGGTGAACCTGCCTTCCGTGGTTCAGACTGATGCCTGTACGCAGCCTGATGCCTCTTGCCTCTACTCGGCCTGAAGCCTCTACTCGGCCTGAAGCCTCTACTCGGCCTGAAGCCTCTCCGCGGCCTGAAGCCTCTCCTCGTCCTGAAGCCTCTACTCGGCCTGATGCCTGTACTCGGCCTGATGCCTCTACTCGGCCTGATGCCTCTACTCGGCCTGAAGCCTCTACGCGGCCTGAAGCCTCTCCTCAGCCTGAAAGCCTCTACGCGGCCTGATGCCTGTACTCGGCCTGATGCCTGTACTCGGCCTGATGCCTCTCTTCAGCCTAAAGCCTCTACTCGGCCTGAAGCCTCTACTCGGCCTGAAGCCTCTACTCTCGGCCTGAAGCCTCTACTCGGCCTGATGCCTCTACTCGGCCTGAAGCCTCTACTCGGCCTAATGCCTCTACCCAGCATGATGAACTGATCCAGCCTGACGATCCTATTAGGCCAGTTGACTCGATGCCCGCTGTTGATCCAGATGATCCGGTACCTGATCCGGTGCCCGCTGTCGTGCCAATTGACTCAGAGCCTGCTGTCGTACCTGGTGACTTGGTGCCCACTGCCTTGCCAGATGACGCGGTGCCCGCTGGCAAGCCAAATGACCTGATGCCTGGTGACCTAGTGTCCGCTGTCATACCTGATGACCCGATGCCCGCTGTCGAGCCAGACAATCCGGTACCTGATGACCGGTGCCCACTGTCGGGCCTGTTGACTCGGAGACCACTGCCTTGCCAGATGACGCGGTGCCCGCTGTCGAGCCAAATGACCTGATGCCTGGTGATCCGATGCCCGCTGTCCAGCCAGACGATTCAATGTCTGCCCCAGTGCCCGCGGTCATGCCAGTTGACTCGGAGCCCACTGCCTTGCCAGATGACGCGGTGCCCGCGGTCGAGCCAAATGACCTGATGCCTGGTGACCTGATGCCCGCTGTCCGGTCAGACGATCCAATGTCTGACCCAGTGCCCGCGGTCATACCAGTTGACTCGGAGCCCACTGCCTTGCCAGATGACGCGGTGCCCCCGCTGTCGAGCCAAATGACCTGATGCCTGGTGACCCGATGCCCGCTGTCCAGCCAGACCATACAATGTCTGACCCAGTGCCTGCGGTCATACCAGTTGACTCGGAGCCCACTGTCGTGCCTGGTGACTCGGTGCCCGCCGCTCCGCCTGGGGGCCCGAGACCTGTTGCTCCGCTTGGGGGTCCAGCGCCCGCCGCTCCGCCTGGGGATCCGGCGCCCGCCGCCCCGCCTGGGGGCCCGAGACCTGTCGCTCCGCCTGAGGGCCCGAGACCTGTCGCTCCGCCTGGGGGTCCGGCACCTGCCACTCCGCTTGAGGGCCCGAGACCTGTCGCTCCTCCTGGGGGTCCGGCGCCCGCCGCTCCGCCTGAGGGCCCGAGACCTGTCGCTCCACCTGGGGGTCCGGCGCCCGCCGCTCCGCCTGAGGGCCCGAGACCTGTCGCTCCATCTGGGGGTCCGGTGCCCGCCGCTCCGCCTGAGGGCCCGAGACCTGTCGCTCCTCCTGGGGGTCCGGCGCCCGGCGCTCCGCCTGAGGGCCCGAGACCTGTCGCTCCGCCGCCTGGGGTCCGGCGCCCGCCGCTCCGCCTGAGGGCCCGAGACCTGTCGCTCCGCCTGGGGGTCCGGCGCCCGCCGCTCCGCCTGAGGGCCCGAGACCTGTCGCTCCGCCTGGGGGTCCGGCGCCCGCCGCTCCGCCTGAGGGCCCGAGACCTGTCGCTCCGCCTGGGGGTCCGGCGCCCACCGCTCCGCCTGAGGGCCCGAGACCTGTCGCTCCGCCTGGGGGTCCGGCGCCCGCCGCTCCGCCTGGGGGCACGATGCCTGTCGCCCCGCCTGGGGGCACGATGCCTGTCGCCCCGCCTGGGGGCCCGATGCCTGTCGCCCCTCCTGGGGGCCCGGTGCCTGTCGCCCCTCCTGGGGGCCCGGTGCCTGTCGCCCCTCCTGGGGGCCCGGTGCCTGTCGCCCCGCCTGGGGGCCCGGTGCCTGTCGCCCCGCCCGGGGGCCCGGTGCCTACTGCTCCGCCCGGGGGCCCGGTGCCTGTCGCCCCGCCCGGGGGCCCGGTGCCTGTCGCCCCGCCCGGGGGCCCGGTGCCTGTCGCCCCGCCCGGGGGCCCGGTGCCTGTCGCCCCGCCCGGGGGCCCGATGCCTGCTGCTCCGCCTGGTGGCCCGCTGCCTGCTGCTTCGCCTGGTAATCCGATGTGCCTCTGCCCCGGAGTCCTGCCCGATGTGCCTCTGCCCGGAATCCTGCCCGATGTGCCTCTGCCCGGAATCCTGCCCGATGTGCCTCTGCCCGGAGTCCTGCCCGATGTGCCTCTGCCCGGAGTCCTGCCCGATGTGCCTCTGCCCGGAGTCCTGCCCGATGTGCCTCTGCCCGGAGTCCTGCCGATGTGCCTCTGCCCGGTGTGCCTCTGCCCGATGTGCCTCTGCCCGGAGTCCAGCCCGGTGTGCCGCTGCCCGGAGTCCTGCCCGGTGTGCCAGTCTTTGATATCCCGCCAGTTGCCAGACCCGGGCGGTGGAACATTTTGCCCAGCTAGGACTGTTTGGAGCGTCCTGAGGCCGCTCCTTGAGGGGGGGGTACTGTTAGGAATGGACTGGCCAGCAATGGTGGGACTCACCTGCCTTTTGATCTGCAGTACCAGGGCTGGCCAGCGGGTGTTCCCAGCAATCAGAGACTCAACTCTGCAGCCAGCTAACACCTGTAACTGATGATGCTGGGGTATTTAAGGGATGGCCAGACCCACAGACTCTGCCTTGGTGTTGTGTTTGTCCTGGGCCCTGTATCTGTCCTGCATCCTGTTTCTGTTCCTTTGCTGACTTCTCCTGCTCTGATCCTGGCTTGTGACCCTGACCATCCCTCTGTCTGACCCTCTGTACTACGCTGCTTGCTACCTGTTCTGATCCCTGGCTTGTGACCCGGACCATCCCTCTGCCTGACCCTCTGTACTATGCTGCTTGCTACCTGCTGAACCTGGCCTGTGACCCCGACCATTCTCCGCTTGCTCCCCCTGTACCTACCTGCCCAATTGATATTGACCCAGCCTGCCTGACGACGCTTGCTTGTATGTACTGTTCTCTGTGGGTGGTTTGGTTTGGTTTGTTTGCACTGTATTATGTTTTAGTATTGCACTGCGTTTATGTTTGTACTGTTAGTGTTAATAAATTATATTGTTTATAACATATCTGAGGTCTGCGTTTCCCTGCTTCAGTCACACACCTCTGGTCATACCTGGGAGCCCTGACAATCCGTACCACCTGGGGAGACCCGTGCCCTCTCGCTCTGAAACTTGGATCTGCTAACCCAGGAATTTGGCAAGTACCTTAACCCTTTCACCTCTCTCTAATATCTCTTTGCTGTGCTGTTGCTCTCTGTATATTTATATATATCTTAGTTACATCTTTTTCTGTAAATATTTTTATTGCACCTGTTTGACCTTTTAATAATAAATCTTTCCTTCTGAAAGTGTTGAACTGTTTCTATAGCTCTTAATTGCAAATTACGAATTCCTGCCTCTAAAAGAGATGCTACTGTGTTTGTTTAACCCTCTGTATAACCGGCCTGCGGTGACCGTTTTATACAGATGATTATCTCAACCATTATAGTGTTATAGCTGATATCGCCGAGTTTCCTCTTTCTCTGTACAAAAAGGAGGTGGTGGCAGTGTGAAAGGTTAATTGCGTAATTACCTGACCCAGTAACAATCGCATTCAGGTTGCCGGTGCATTGATTGTGGTCCAATTAGCTGGAAAATCGTTGTGCAGGGTGCAGCTGAGTGTGGCATTGTTACGCACGTGACATCGCGGTTTTAGATTGGCTAGTCCTTTGGTCACGAGTTTGGTGAGAAGGGCTGGGATCTGACGCCACGTCCGTCACATATTGGTGACAGCGATCGGGGGATTGTCGCATATTGGTGGCAGCGATCCCGTGTTCGTGACACCAATAAGCAACAACATGCTTGTTTTAGCAGACTAATTCCAGCAAATGTAACAAAACAGCATGCAACATTGGGCCAGCAGAGATGGGTATGCTACAAGGAGAGTACTCTCTCAAAGGGGTTCATCTTTGGATTGTTTATACTCAAAAGAGGTTACTACTAGGGTTGCCATCTCATCCCTTTAATACCGAACACATATTAATTACACTGGTTCGGTGGTTGATTAAGGTGGTAATTAAACTCACTTAGGGCCTTATCTGCATTAACTACTTGCCAACCGCAGAGCTGAATGACGGCTACACTGCGACCAGCCAGTTCTGGGAGGGCGTCTATGACATTCTCCCAGAACGTGCTCTCCTGCGTGCCCCCGGCGATCTCCGTGATCGCTGTGGCCTACGGACACAGCTAATCACGTGATGTGGTAAAAGGCCAATCACAGCGGCCTTTTAACACTTGATCAGCCGTGTCCAATGACACGCTGATCACCGGGAAATGCAATTGCCGGTTCTCGGCTGCACTTTCCTCATGCTGTCAGAGTGCGAGGAAAGTACTGCCGAGAACCGGCAGTTGTCAGAGCAGTGATCTGCACCGATCATCAGGGCACTGATGATCAGTGCCCTGATGATCGGTGCAAAGCAGTGCCACCCACCAGTTCCGCCCACCTGTGCCCAGCAGTGCACCCACCTGTGCCCAGCAGTGCCACCCAGCAGTGCCACCTACCTGTGCCCAGAAGTGCCACCTACCTGTGCCCAGCAGTGCCACCCACCTGTGCCCACCAGTGCCCATCAATGCAGTGCTGCCAGTCAGTGCCACCAGTCAGTGCCCAGCAGTTGCGCCAGTCAATGCCTAGCAGTGCTGCCAGTCAGTGCCCAGTAGTGATGCCAGTCAGTGCCACCTATCAGTGCTGTCTATCAGTACCCATCATCAGTGCCGCCTATCAGTGCCACCTATCAGTGCCACCTATCCATGACATCTCATTAGTGCTGCCTATCAGTGCCGCTTATCCCTGCCACCTCATTAGTGCTGCCTATCAGTGCCGTCTATCAGTGCCCATCAGTGCCGCCTATCAGTGCCCATCAGTGCTGCCTCATCAACGCACATCAGTGAAGGAGAAAAAATTACCTGTTTTGAAATTTTTTTTAATAGAAACAAATAATTTTTTGCACTTTTTTTGTTTAGAGCGCAAAAAGTAAAGCGCCCAGCGGCAATTAAATACCACCAAAATAAAGCTCTATTTGTGAGAAAAAAATGATAACAATTTCATATGGGTACAATCTTGCATGACCGGTCAATTGTCAATCAAAGTGCGACAGCGCTGAAAGCTGAAAATTGGCCTGGTAAAGAAGGGGGTATCAGTGCCCGGTAGGCAAGTGGTTAAATAAGCCTCTGAACTTGTGTAATTAATATGTATTCTGTTTTAATGGAATGAGGTGGCAACCCTAGTTATTACTTGCCATAATATGATTTAGCTATCCCATATGCTTGGCTATTGTTATGACTAGAGATGAGCAAAGTATTCAAAAATTCGATTCGGCGAATTCGTGGAAAAAATTTCGATTCGAGTCGAATATATTCGCTGCGAATTTAACTTATAAAAGGGTGTTTCTAGGCTTCAGAGAGACTTTATATTAGTGCAGAACACTGTACCTTTAAATTAAATGCCCTTGGAGTCTGCTGGGGAAGAGAAATAATACTGACAGTCAGTATGACATGCAGATGAGTGCCGTCGATCTTAGAATCACCACACACTTCAC